AGAAAAAATGCCACATGCATATATTAGTTATTCAGTTTATAATTAGTTTATTGATATCTTATTTTTGAATCTCTAAAGGGTGGATATTTACTAGTCTAAAATAGAAATATTAAATTTAAAATAACAACACTCACACATTATTTGAGGGAACATATCCTAAGTATATGATGAAATTACATTAACAAAAAAAGGTCACTTCATGGAGCGTTCCCTGTATAAGTCCGTTAAATACAAAGAGGATATATGCTATTAAAATTTAAGTATAATATGTACTTCAAGATCACACACTCAGAATAAAATTTTAGATGGAATTCGATAAAAATATTCCTTATATCGAGTGATATTTAACATTATAATCTTCTCATATATGACAAAGAAGAGCGCGTATTAAATATTAGATTAATTCATAATAAAAAAAATCAATAGGTAACAAAATACGGGGAGCTTATTCACACTTAATCTATATAAGTATCCTGTTTGTATTTTAAGGCGGATGCAGATGTTCACTTTCTATATCTATTCTAAAATAGATTTCTGGTCACGAGTGTACAAAGGAGGAGGAAAAAGCCCTCTTCTTTAAATCTGAGGGCAAGTAGCAGCCTAGAGAATATGGATATATGCCACAGTTGGATTTATGGGAGGGTGGCTATACTAACTTTTTAGTTATTTTAGTTTTATGACCGGATTAAGTATATTTGGTCTACAATTTATTTTCGAATTGTATTGAATCCCCGATATCAAATGCACACAATAATAAAACGTTTTACTATATACAAACTACCATATTATAATTGGTTACTTTATTTGGATTTATATTTAAAGATCGAATACCTCATTTATAACTAAATTAGTCAGATAACAAAGAACGGAAGAAAAGAAATACCATCAAAACCCGATAACTAAACCGCATTGGAGGCCTATTTTCATATCATTCGTGGGGGAGTAGATTTACAATGTTTGAGTTTTTACCTCTTACTCTCATTTTAATAAAAACCGACAATCAAAAAAATACATAAGATATTACCAAATTTTTCAAATGGGAGTTAGTTTCAATTGAAGTTTTCAATAATTAATTTTAAAATATAAAAAAATGAAAAACTTTCTATTTTTATATATAATATACAATATATTTATAAAGAAAATGATTAAATTATAGAAATAACAATAACTATTATTATATATAATATCTATATATTATTCTTTATATAGTATCTCTATTCTTATAGTATTAAGATGAGGAGCTTTGGAGGAGGACCTGGGCTATATTATCTAATCATCAACCTAATACTTTTGCTCGTCCTTCAGTATCAGACCCTCACATGTTCTATTTTACACTTCTTGAAGTGATGAGCTTATATAGTGTATTTATAGTATAATTACATTAGACTTTAGTTATTAGTGCTGTGAGTATATTTTGAGTAGGTAATTAAAAGAACAGATTCAAAAAAATAAATATATAGATATATAAAAATATTAAGCGTGAGCGCGGCGTGTATCAATAAGATCTGGGTGAGAGTTATAAGTTTGGGAGTTTTTAAATTATATCTTATAAAATTAAAGACAATTGCTACAATGTAATATATATTGAGTAGAGGAAGATTGATGAAAACGAGTAATAAAGAATTATGTCTCGCGAGTGGTTCAAGGAGGGAGAATGAGTATAGTGATATCAAGTTGGAGTAGTTATAAAATAAAGAACTAAGAAATTAAAAATATAATAACAGGATTGCCCAATTCAAATTGGGCAAAGTAGTCTAGTTATATAATGTGGAAGTTTGCCATCAATTAATTGTTAAATTACAATAGATCATCTTGATTATTATCATTAATCGGTACCTAAATCATGTGGTTATTAAGAATTCGATAGAAATATATAAAATTTACAAATAAAGAAATAACTACATATATATATATAGTACATATTAGGGATATTTAGTCATGATTTCCGGACGTATCGTAGTACTTAATAGTGACATATTTATACATGATGATATGTAATATTGAGTACTATAATATAATAACCCCCCTTTCTATTGGATTTGAGTCCATGGTGTTCCAGTTGGGTATTACTATATATGTTTTAGAGGTGTTACCACATAGATTATTTGAATGTATGTCAGTTACTATTATTGAGTATTAATTAACTTCATAGCGACTTGAATGTTTGCATAGAATATAAATATGATAGAATTGGAGGAGTGTCAAACTAAAAGATGTTATATTAGCTATTCTTGAAATTATATAAATATGATTTGATATGCGCATTGTGATTCTAATTCATGTTTCGTCTGGGTACCGTGGTATTTCTATAAGTCAGTTTAGATTTGTGAATTTGAATTGTTTTTAAATTCATCTTTAAATATATAGCAGAATATTAACAATTCTTCTTACTCGTATTAAACAACCGATAGAATATGGCTAGACGTTAAAGATATCGTATATCCGCTCTATATTCTAAATATTTGGGAAGCCTTGATATTGGTTTTGAGTTGGAGTTATGTTAGAGTAATGTATAAATAAAATTAAAAAAATTGAGAGTTGGAATTTGACTATGTTGATGTTGAGAGTGAGTTGATGGATATATTTCGAGTAGCTTGGACGCTTAATAGGTGAACCATATGATTTTGCTTATTTGGTTTGGTCAAAGAATAGCAAGATAGAGATGATTCTATTCGTAATATTCGGTTAAACGTCTTCGGGGATAGAACTAGTGATTGCACCGATCAGAGGAGGCAGAGAGAGTGAGTTGATACGGACGGCTCATAAAATATAAATAGCTACACCACAAATATGGTGGATTAAAATAGTAAATTATGATTAGAATTTTTGAGCTATTCACTTGTGGGATACAAGAGTATAGAGATAGATAAATGGATGGTACAGTTCCTCGGGGGTTAGTATGTAAGCTTTAAGTGATGATTACGAGAGGTCGTGATCGGAAACCCATCACGAGAAAATTACAAGATAATAAAGCGGTGGTAATATGAGTAGAATAACCGTACCAACATGTCTCACATGGATACAGGGGTCATGAATAGTTTCAAGTTTGGAAGTTTATTTAAATCTATCCTTATAACAATAAAAGTCCAAATAAAATAAAAATTAGGCACAATACAATCACAACGAAAAAAGAGAGAGAATACTACCCATATCACAGACTTCAGGGAAGTATGTTGTTCGAGTTGGATCTCTGTTTTAAAATAATTTTTTAAATATAAATTATACAAGAAATTAAATTAAAATAATGAATTACTAGCATTCTAAATTGGCCGAGTAGTTTTCGGAAATTGGTGAGGTTTTGTAAATAGTGTTAAATATAGCAACAAAAATTATTCTATTATTAATGAGTTGATATCTTATATGTAATTAATATTCATTTTATATATCACTCATAATCTCATATGGAGGATAATGGGTTGTTTCTATTCTTATTACATTATATATATGAGATATAATAGGTTAGTTATATATTTGTATAAGATATATAATAGTATATATATAGGAGAGTCAATATAGAAATATATATATATATAATAGAAGGCAAAGAAAATGTATAATGACAAGTGTCATAATTTCTTTTAACAATAATAATTATACTAATATTGGATAATATATAATATAAAAAATGCAGTAACGAAAAAATTATTTGATGCATACCTTTCTAACTATATATTTTTTATTTTAAAACTCCAACTTGAAACTACTTCCCAATTTGAATGGGTAGTTTTTCTTCTCTTTTTTCGTTTTTTTATAGGTAAATTTTTTTTTTTGCTTTTTATTTTAAAATAATTTAAAAACTCAAACTTGAAACCACTCCCATGAAATTTAAATGGGTAGTTATTTTTTATATATTTATTTTTCGTTTTTTAATTATATTTAATTATAAGATATCTATATTTATTAATCCAAATAAAGTAACCAATTAATATATATATATATATATATATGGTAGTTTTTTAATTTATTTTATTATTTTCGATTTTTTTATATATTTAAATTCAAAAATAATAATCAATAACTAATTATAAACTAAATAACTAATTATGCCATGTGTCATTTTTTTAGGTTGCCACTTGGCTTAAGGAGAGGGCTTTTTCCTCTCCTTTTAATAATATATAGATATATAGATTTTTATTTTAAAGTTATTTTAAAACTCCAACTTGAAACTACTTCCCGATTTGAATGGGTAGTTCTTCTCTTTTTTTATTTTTTATAGCTATTTTTTTTAAAAATAATTTAAAAAATCCAACTTAAAACTACTCCCACCCAATTTGAATGGGTAGTTATATTTTTATATATTTATTTTTCGTTTTTTTATATTTAATTATAAGATTTCTATATTTATTAATCCAAATAAAGTAACCAATTAATATATATATATATATATATATATATATATATATATATGTTTGATTTTTTAATTCAAATCGAATTAAAAATAATAATTTATTTTATTATTTTCGATTTTATTTAAATTCAAAAATAATAACCAATAACTAATTATAAACTAAATAACTAATTATGCCATGTGTCATTATTTTAGGTTGCCACTTGGCTTAAGGAGAGGACTTTTTCCTCTCCTTTTAATAATATATAGATTATTAAATTTTTTTGCTTTATTTATTATTTTTTAATTCAAAAACCATCACATACACACGCTTATTTACGGTGTCAGGCACGCACTTTTGCCACGTCAATTATGTCGTTGCCACATAAGCTTGGTCAATGGTCAGAGGTGTTTATTAGTACCCACCTTATTGAGGTAAAGTGTTAAAATGGGATACTCCTAAGTTCATATACCGGGATGGCAAACCGCTGCAAGTTTAAGTGGCTATAAGGCCATTTTGCCTTTTTTATTTAAGAACTGTCGAGAATATTTTACAGGTACAATGTTATACTAGAGGACTTCATTAAAGAAACCATGATCAGAATATCGTCAGAAGCAATTCACTAAGTATACCTAAAAAAAAATCCGGAGGTAAATAAAACATGCAGGGTTTAAAATCCTTTAATTTGTATCCATAATCTGTCATATAGAACACAACCTCTCAAACATATCAGAACATAACAAAAGCTATTACCACGGGCAAATTAGAAATGACATACAACAAAAAGACATTGTAATAGAAGTCAAATACACAGAAATTCCTCAGTGTGGTCAGGTGAAAAGAGAAGGATAAGAGGAGGGGAAGTAAAAGTAGAAGGCTAATGTAATCCTTTGTTTGGTTAAAACTTAAAAGAAGAGGAGTATGAATATTAACTTTTCCAGACTGCCTGAAATAGGACAAACAGGACATCTTTTTGGTGTACATAGCACTACCAAAAAACAACCGAAGGTAAATGATTAATCAATGAGCTGTACTCTCTCTAGATCCCCTCTTCTTCATTGATCCAAACATAAAAGGATATTACATTGTCACGGAAATAATATCTTGCAAGTTTCCTGTCATTGCCCAGCTCAGAGTTCGAACAAATGATTCAGAAAAGTATCATCATGAATGCAAACCTCCCGCAATAATATCTTCACATTAACAAAGCCGCAGAATTAGATCTACGAGCTACTCTATTTTTTTCCTCGGAAGGAGGGATAAGCAGGATAAAAATGATAACTGTATCGACAAAAGATAAATTATCACCAAGTCACCTGATATATAACTGATGAAGAGGAAGATGATTCGCCACGTTTTGGTGAACCAAAACCTGAACCCTTGCACAACCAGAGAAGTATATTTGTTACAGGAATCCAAGATCTACTGTCAAAAGCAGACAGTAGCACTTTAGGCATTCTCTGCATTGCGGCTTCATTGCATTCAAAAGTAGCCAAGAACTCCTTGTACTGCATTAAGACAGAAATAGACTGCAGAAGATCTCGCATCTCCGCCTGGATATCCTTGGATCATTGAAGTGGGTGACAGCTAAAGTAACCTGAAGAAGGAAGAATTTGTAGCAAATACACGTAAAAGAAATGAAGCTAAATAATCTCACACATAACAGGAAACAAGTACCAAAGGAATCTAGCATTAATCATGTGGATCATTCCGGAACCAACCAAGCTATAGTAAGAAAATCTTTTTGTGCTAATATTTTTTCTTATAAATACTTCTCCTTTGTTACGTTAGCTTTAGAGGGTGTTGATGTGTTCTATTTCAGCATATTAAAATAAGCAACTATGCAAATACCACTGCCATTATAGACTTAGTCCTAAAAGTACCATAGAATAAAAAAGCATGTGACTAGAGTGAGAGACAGAGAGACGAACTAGAGATGGAGAATTGAGACATACAAACTATGTTAAGTCCTTGCTTGAGAAAAAATGTAGCAGGGATTTTACGAAGTACATGGAAGCAGTCCACCTGTCATTGAGACAACAGAAAGGAAGATCACTTTCGAAAGTTGTGGCAACTAATAAACCGACTAAATAAATGACATGAAAATAGCTGGCAAAAATTTGCTAATGATGAGCACTTGAAAGCATAAAGCATTTTCAATATTTCTATGCCCAGAATACAGCCACATATAGACAACAGTTTAAACTTTTTTTCCAAGCTCTTCCTTTCTCTTTGCAGGTCGGTACACAAATGGACATGAAATAGAAAGGAAGGGAAAAAACAGAATGTACAAATACCACAATGTACATTATGTAAGATAAGTCAGGTTGGTTCGATCCATTCAAACCCATTCCCCAAAAACTATACAAACACAGGGGCCTAGTAATGAAAGGTGCAGAGACAGAAAGGCAGATGGAAGCAAGGATGGAAGCAAAACGGTAGGCAAGAAAAAGTTTTTGGTTCACTTGGCTATTAATAACTGCAGATACCCAAATTCCGCAGAGGATATGGCACTATCTTTCACTAAAAGTTGTAGGTCCTTCTCGGCTTCGCTATCCACACCTGAAGAAAGTCAAGTGGCACTAGCAAAGAGGTAGAGAAAAATTTATGCTCAAAAGAAGAAGTGCAGTAAAGCATATATACAAACGATGAGTCACTCTTTGATACAAAAGAAGGGCCAATTATGATGGAGTTTCAAAATAGTATGCAGAGTAGGAAAGTTATTACCAAGGTTTCCAAATAGTACTCAAGTATAGATGAAGACCGAGTCCTCTTTGCTAAGAATTAAAACTAACTGAACAATCCACATGCATACTGCATACCATCCCTCTCCGCTTCCACCGAGAAAATAGAGAAACACGATACCTGTTAGATGATAGACAGCAAAAACTAAGCTATACCTCCTTGAAAGCAGACAGTAACTACTCATTAATATGGAAAATATACTGATGCATAATAGCCAAAACATTATTTGGAAATACAACAAAACATGCGATGATCATATTACCAAGCACAATGTCTGACACAATCCATTACTTCTTCTCAGTATATGCTACGAGCCTCCTTCAGGCGTTTTACATGTTCCCACAAACTTTTTAACTGGCCTGCTTATCAGTTTCTTCTAGAAGAGAGATTGACTGTGACTGCCGAGACATATATGATGACGCCTACAATTGAAATAAGAGAATCATTCAAATATGATGTGAATCCACGAAACATGACAGGAAGAAAGCTACATTCTTCTGCAGCAATGAATTCAGGTGCTGTAAGAATGGAATAAGAAAAGAAAGGACGATTGAACTGGCAGCACAGAAACATGTTAACCAAAAATGAGGTAAAATATCAGGATCCATGTCCTCACACAAGAGAGAAGCAGATAGAACTAGTTCCGCACCTTCTATATCAATCAAGTATGCCTTAATCCCATATTTGCATGAATCCGTCAAATGAATCCTCTATGTCCACTCCGTTCAATTTATGTCCATTCTATTCGGTATCAGAGAATTCATCATAGTTAGACTAATTTTACGCTAGCCGTCAACCTACCCCAATCCTGCCCCCACTATTTGCTAGGGCCATCAACCTCGCCACTATTTTGAAACCTACTATATCATGAAATACATTCTCATGAAGAGAGACAGCACGTATCAAATGAACAAAGAAGCCAGACTACACAAATACCCACGAGACACTGCCCTAAAATTGATTAACTTACTCTGCTAAATAGACACTCTTTCATCTAAAGTCCAGTAGTCACGAGGAGGAGGTACTAGCAATAATAGGGACGATTGAGCTATGAGCATCTGAAGGTGGCCTGGGAGCAAAGTGCTGTTAGAAAGAAGGAAAAGAGCTGGAATTTCATTTTTTAGCACATAGCTGCAAACAGATGGATCTCTTCCTTTTCCTCCAATTCTTTAATATAATGCCAGGTTCCAGACATTATAAATCATGTAAATCGAGACAACTTAAATTTCATGTTGATCCTTGCACCTTAGGGCTAAGGGCATTCATTTCCTTGCAAGTTCATGCTTTAATTAGAGTACAGAGGCGGAGCATGAAGAAGCAACGGGATAGGAGCAGCTTACTACTGGACTTCACATGTAATCACAACATAGACCATCTGAACATAAAATGATTTTTGACGCGCTCGGTGAAATAAATCACAAATTTTGGACTAAGGAAACAATTAAGCCATTAGTGACGCAGGGGGAGACGAGGACAAATGGGTTAGTATGATCCACTACAACTTCCACCAGCATAATGAATTTGCTTAGCCTCTCATAAATGAGGAAAAAGCACATAAAGGTTTTACTCTGATTGCAGAAATTCTTCACAAATAATACGACTATCAGATACCAGGGCAGTAGAATACCCTCATTACCAGAAACTGAATCATGGAGAACTAGAGAACTGCAAGATAGGGGTGTCAATGGTTCGGTTCGGCCGGTTATTTTATAAAATTTGTACCATATCAATTTTTCGGTTATTTTATTATGTATAATCAAAATTATATTTTTCTAAACCGTCCCAATCACGCCGGTTTCTCTTCGGTATCGGTTCGGTAAATATTCGGTAATTTTTTAAAATGTCATGTAAAAATCACTAGTAGAAGTAGAATGCAATAATATACGTACTTTTATAGGACTTATCAAAACTCTCTAGACTTTTTTACTGTTTAAAAGGTGATGAACTAAGAAAATATAAAAGATGGCTAGAGTATAGATCCGTCAACTATTCTACATCAGCATAAAAGAAACTACACAAATACAAAGAAAATATAAATCACACGAGTGGAAAGATATTAATTGAGCTGGGATTCAAGAATAAAGTCTATAGAAGATTAAATATTCAAAAAGATAAATCTAAATTATACGAAAGGAAGCATATTGAATACATTATAATTTATTACTCATAATCTCTATAATATCTTGTATCTTGCTAGTGAATATGCTGGAAATAATTTAATTTCAATAGGAGTAGCATAAGAGGTTTGGGAATTAGGATTTTGAGTTTAATTACTTGTTGGCTGGTAACTATTTCATAATGAAAAGGCCCCAGAAAAAATTTAATGCTTTATTACTTTCAAACTTAATATATAAATATATTTTTCACATTGTAAATTTATTCGGTACGGTACGGTATTTTTCCGGTTTATTTTTATAAAATAAAAAACCTACCCTAATTATCGGTACGGTTATAGATTTATAAAAAAACCTACGATTTTATTAAAACAAAAACCTAAAAATCGGCTCTGTACGGTACGGTTCGGTCGGTTTAGTCGGTTTTTAAATATCCATTGACACCCCTACTGCAAGAGATCTCAGGTAAAAAAAGACAAACAGTAACTCAGAGTCGAGGCATAAGAACTTTTCGTACCTTGTCTTGACCACCAACATCCCACACTGTAAAGTTGATGTTCTAACTACCTGAGATTCTGGAAAAGAATTTGTAACTTTGAAATATTAATGACTTGTAAAGGACAAGATAGGAGTAATTATTGTTGAGTTGTGTCCCACATCGGTGAGTAATGGGTGTCTTGGTCTTCTTATATGGTCTTGGACAATCCTCACCTTATAAGCTAGCTTTTAGGGTTGAATTAGGCCCAAGGTTCATTCTTATCATGGTATCAGAGCCAAGCCCATCCCAATTTATTGTTACCGATGTTGGGCCCCCATTTATATTGTCCACGCTCCAGTTGCAGGCCTGGGCGTGAGGGGGGGGGGGTGTTGAGTTGTGTCCCACATCGGTGGGTAATGGGTGTCTTGGTCTCCTTATGTGGTCTTGGACAATTCTCACCTTATAAGCTAGCTTTTGGGGTTGAGTTAGGCCCAAGGTTCATTATTATCAATTATAATGGAAGAGACCTGCAATTTGAAGATTTTGGTAGCAGCAGATTCTGGCTAGTTTAAAAGTTTAGAAGTAGAGCATGTACATATGCGTGTGTGTGAGAGCTCAAGAAAGTGTCTCCGTCATCATTAGCTAAATCTTGGAATAGTAGGGACTCTGAAACCATAAAATCAACTCATATTGCAGCATTTTATCGTAAATACTAGGTAAAATTTTATTTTAAAGAAACATGATGCTTCTCCTACTTTCTGTTGAATTTTTATGCTGCGCAAAAGGGATGCTTATCTCGCTTAAAATGTAAAATTGGAAAATTCATGACACCTGTCCTGAGTAGGGTGATCCTTCTTCATCGGCTCTACTTCCCAGGTGGTACAAGTGGAAGAACCTGCAAACAAGCACAGAAACATGAATGTCTTGTCACCTTTCACTTTCCAATTATTTATGAGAAAGTTAGAATCAGCTTGGCTCCATTGTTTGGTGACCTCCTATTTTAAGATTAGACTATTATATTCTTAAGTAAACATTCAAATGTATACCTACTACATCATGCAAGATATAAATATACAACAACCAATGCCATCATGGAAGTTCCAGACCATATAACTTAAGACAACAAGTTTCTCCCAAACATTCATTACAAGGACAAGGAGCAAACAAGAGAGTACAAACTCCAGGCCAAGAGAAAAAGCTAAATAACCAAAAAAGGTACTTCTCGCCCCTTTATTAGTAAGTGAGCTGCTATTCACCTTGCCGAATCACCAATATACTACAATCCAGGCATCAACTTTATAAGGTTCCAACACCTAATACATGAGCTGATGAAGTGCAAAACTGAGATGCCAAGATCCCTGTGATCTAGATGCTAATTTCTTGAAAGCAAGTAACTAAACTTGTAAGCTTTTTTATTTTTATTTTTCTTCTGACAAGTAAAAAAAAATGTACTTAGAACTCCTATGTGGGTTAGGCTTTTAATTCTGTTAGCTTCAGTATTGTTTCACCATATCTGTAATCTTTCCACTAATACATAACCCGTATGTTCCCTGCTACCATAAAAAAGAGGCAAAAAATTATTGACATGAAAAGTTTGTGCTGACATAATAACAATATTGAGTTACAAGCTTGCAACCACAATGTTACAACCAAATGGTAAGTGTTTTTCCGCTCTTCATTTAATTACTTATAGACAATATAAATACAGCAAATTTCCCAATTCCACAAAATATAATCTTTTCAAGAAAAAAGAAGGAGCAACTGAACCTGTCAATGGAGAAACCAGCAAGATGAAGCCAATCAAGGAACTGAAAAGCCTGGAGCCAAGGTCACTGATACCATAACGTCCAGGAAACGAAGTCGGTAACAACACTCCAGCACTTCTACGATCACTTCGGTCCCTCTCAGGCAACCGGTCAGCACTGTCACACAACAAGTCCTCACCCACACAAGGAACTGAGCCATCCTGAAATCGTAACCCAAGAAATGACCTATCCCATCAAAACTGAAAATGGGTTTAGAAGATTAGTTTATCATTCACAATGGCTAGTAATCTGCTGATTTATCTTGAAATTCCACTAACAAAAGAGTCTACTGTCAGTTCGAGTTTTAGGAGCATAATAGTTCGACAAAAGTAAGTAGCATAGACTATAGCACATCTACTATTAGCCAAAGAGCAGTTAAAGGGATGATACGAAGGAACATGAAACAAGAAACAATTTATTTTTGGTTGAAATCATTCAACTAACCTATCATCAGCTTCGAAGGAATTAATAACTGCAGACTTGCTCATTGGCAAGATCTTGCAACAAATAGACAGTGGTCCACCTTCAAGTATCACCAGTAATCCCCACATGAACAAGAGCCATCTTTGAAATGGTGAAACCGGTTAATATCTCTAATAATGATCTCCCTAGAGACGATTTTACAAATGAACTTGAATGCTGTATGGCAGTCCAAACAAATCCGAAGGTTCTTCTTCACTCTAATAGGAGCACCAGGAGGTGTAGCAATCAGCCCAAATGCAACAGCTAGTTTCTCGCTGTGATAGGAGAGAAGAATCTCCTTTTGTATCCTCTCTACATCATGGAGATCAGTATCTACCATAGGAACATAACCAGCTTTAGCCATTAGCTGTCCCAACTCCTCCAGTTTGGCATATATTTCATCACTTCGCGAATGGCTTCTGTCTCCCACTATAAATGTGTAAATACTATCTTTAATTTCAATCCAACTCATACCAGGTTCCTTTTTTACTCTACTGTCCTTCATCAGTCTTCTTACTTTTGCGACATCTCCCCACAACCCAACTGATGCATAAATATTTGCAAGAAGAACATGAGTGCCAGATTTCTCTGGTTGAAGATGAAAAAGCTTCTCAGCAGCACGTTGCCCTACCTCTACATTCTTATGAATTCTTGCAGCACCCAAAAGTGCACCCCAGACAGATGCATTAGCTTCAAAAGGCATCTTATTTACGAGATCAATAGCGTCATCTAATTTTCCAGCTCGGCCCAGGACATCAATCATGCATGCATAATGCTCTTGAGTTGGTTCAATCCCAAACGAGTCTTTCATTGTTTCAAAATACTTATTGGCTTCTTCAACTAACCCAGCATGGTTACATGCATAAAGGACACTAACTAATGTTATGTGATTGGGAGATACACCATCTTTCAGCATCTCACCAAATAAATGAAGTGCCTTTTTCGCATATCCATGTTGGGCAAGTCCTCCAATCATCGCGGACCATGAAACAATACCTTTTCGAGGAACCTCACTGAAAGCACAGTTAGCATCCTCTATACTTCCAGACTTAGCATACATGTTAACTAGAGAGTTACCAGCAAACACATCTGACATGAACCCAAGCTTCAACACATGAGCATGTATTTGTTTCCCCTGTTCATATGCTGATAGATTTGCACATGCATTTAGGAGAGAACTGCAAACAAATGAGTCTGGCTTGAGACCCATGCCCTGTAGCTTCAGATATAGTTTCATGGCTTCTTCACCTCGACCAAGTAGAGCATAGGCTGTTATGAGAGAGGTAAAAGATGGCAAATCCGGAGTAGGGCACTCATCAAAAATTGTAGCTGCATCATCCAGCTGGCTACATTTTCCATAAGAATCAACAAGACTGTTTATGACAAAAGTGTCACACTGAAATCCCGACTTCACAGAAAGTGCATGAACTTGTTTGCAGACGTTAGGAGCCTGCAAGCCAGCAGCAGAGTTTAGGACGGCAAGTAAAGTTGTCTGATCAAATCCAATTCCTTGGGTGAATGTCTGAACAAAAAGGTCTAGACATGCATTATCTGCCTCATTCTGTGAGTAACCAGAGATCATAGCATTCAACGCAATTAAGTCCTTCCCGGGCATCAGATCATAGATCAACCTCGCGTCCTTGGTTAAATCGCATTTGCAATACATATCGATAAGGCCAACACTCACAAATGGATCCAGTATGATATCTTTCTTTATCAAAAGAGAGTGTAACCCTTGACCCAATCCAAGGAGCTCCAGTGCAGCACAAGCCTTGAGAGCACTCGACAATGTGAACATATTTGGCCAAATTCCTGACCTTCTCATCTGATTCAACATATCTATAGCCCGGTGGTGACATTCATGAAGAACGCAACCAGCAATAATAGCATTCCACGAAACAATGTCAGGTACCACAATTTCATCAAAAACTGTAATGGCATCCTTAAGATTTCCCCCTTTAGCATACATGTCAACGAGTGCATTAGACGAGAAAGGATCAGAATCATAGCCAAGCTTCACCAAACACCCATGAATTTTCTTTCCTTGAACAATATCTCCTAACCCAGTACAAGCATTCAATATGTTGGATAAACTGTATTCATCGGGCCTGACTCCACTAACTATCATATCCCCAAACATGCACATCGCCTCGTCGAAAAAATCATTCTGTGTGTAACAAGAAAACAAAGCATTCCAAGAAACAACATTTCTTTCAGGGATTTCCTCAAACAACAACCTGGAATCTAGAAGTTCGCCACACTTTGCGTACATAACAACCAAAGTATTTGCTACGAAAACATCAGACTCGAATCCTGTGACCACAACAATCCCATGAATCTGCTTACCCAAGAAAAGTTCCTTCATAATAGAACATGCTTTAAGCACACTAGGAAAAGTGAACTCATTACATTTAAGACCCAAAGAATGCATTTTGAAGAAAGCCCAGATAGCATCTTTACCAAAACCATTCTTAGCATACCCAGAAATCAAAGATGACCAGGAAACTAAATCTGGTGCAGGACTTTCATCGAGCAGTTTCCATGCATACTCAAAAGCACCACATTTCGAATACAGATGAATTAAATGGTTCCTATGTTTGCTATCATTAGATAATCCGATTTTGGTTAAATGGGTTTGGATTTGAAGACCTGGGTTTAAAGACTTTGTTTGAGAAAGCTGTGAAAGTAGCTTTGTGTAGGAAAGGCGCCAAAGCTTTGTCATGCTTTGAATCGAAAACAAGTTTTCCAACTGGGTTAGGGGTAATAAAAGGAGGATACGGGATAACTTATCGATTCCAATCGTCTTTAGTTTGAAAGCCTATGCCTTCAAACAAAGGTCGTTGTAGTATAGTGGTGAGTATTGCTGCCTGTCTCCCGGGTGACCCGGGTTCGATCCCCGGCAACGGCGATAATTCTTTTGCGGAAAAAAAACTCATTCTTGTAGCCTGTTTGGTCAAGCTTCTTTTTGGCCAAAAGTGCTTTTTTTTTTGCCAAAAGCACTTTTGGCAAAAAATTGAGGTGTTTGGCCAAGCTTTTGGAAGGAAAAAAAGTGCTTTTGAGGAGAAGCAGAAGCAGTTTTGGAGAAGCGAAAAAAAGTAGCTTCNTTCTCTTTCATCGGAGGATCAACTCTTGCTGCCTGTTCTCTCCAACGGAAACCGTACTCTCTAAAGCTTTCGCCGGGCCTCTTCTCGATTTTGGTCAATGACAGACGGTCCGGGACAATTTCGAGATTGTATTGAAAATGACATGCAAATGCTTGAGCCAGGTCGTCCCATGTGTACCATCGAGCATGATCTTGTCGTGTATACCATTCTAACGCTGCTCCACTTAAGCTTTGACTAAAGTAAGCCATTAACAGCTCATCCTTTCCCCCAGCTCCCCTCATCTTGCTGCAGAATCCCCTCAGGTGCGCCACCGGATCACCATGGCCATCATACAAATCAAACTTTGGTAACTTGAACCCTGCTGGCAGCTGGACATCGGGAAACAAGCATAAATCCTTGTAGGCCACACTGACTTGGCCACCCAATCCTTGCATGTTCCTGAAGGATTGCTCCAGGCTTTTTACTTTTCGAAACATTTCTTCTTGTTCCGGGTCCTTAGGCGGCTTATCAGTTTCCACCGGGAGCTCAAAGCGAGGAGTGTAGGAATACGGCTCAGGAGCTTTGAAGGTAGGCTCGGGAGGGTAGTACTGGCTGTCGTGAGTTGGAAACAATGGCTCACTGGAAGATCTTTGCAATGTGGCAGGTGGAGGTGCCACAAATACTGGAGCAATTGGTGGTGGAGGACATGGAATTTGTTTGGGTGGTGGTGGTGGTGTCTGAGAGGTAGTTCCGTAGTAATGCTGGTAAGCAGGGAAAGCGGGAGATGAGTTTACTGTGGGAGGATCTTGGGGTTGAGCTGGTGGTGGGAGGTAATTGGGGTTGGCAGGATAGACCGGTGGTGGATGTCCCTTCGACCAGGCCTGGTACATCTCGGCCATTTGTTGCTTTAGTTTATACATCTCTTCTCTCATTGTGTTAACGTCCACTGCCTCCTCCTCTCTGGATGGGTCAACAATGCTTGCTTCCAAATCCTGATTGGTCATGTTTGACTTGTCCTTGGAGTGGGTGTTGTAAGGATGGGTTGCCAAAATGCCAATCAGCTTAACCACCTATCTGGACTTATCAACAACAACTTGGTTAGCGGTTAGGGCATTAACAAATAGATGATCGCACATTGATGGGTGGATGCACCTAAGCAGTCAATCGTTTCTATTATGCCTCTATTCACATGCGTCATCCCGGCTTTCATTTCTTTTCTTGCCAATTAGTTCCCACTCTTATCTTTTCATTTTTGCTCTCCCTTTTTGGTTCTCTTTCATTTGGTTTTTTCCCCTGTTTATATCATTCATTTCTGGTTTTCCCTTTTATTATTTAGAGACGGTCGAATCCTATGGAGACTGCCTACGTATCACGACCCCGCGTGAATCAGACCAAGCGTAGTTCGTAAAATAAATGCAAAGTAGGAGCATGATATTTTTTGACAATTTCAATTTTATTGATAGCAAACTTGTCTGTTACAAAGACTCAAAACAACTAACAAACCCCATCATCCCTATACAGACTCAATCAACTGACTGTCCTTTAAAAAAAAATACAGACTCTGGACGACAAACCCCTTATTTTTTTAGAAGAAAGAGTGTAGACTCAAAGACAATTACGAATACATTAAAGCTCCTGGTGCCGCGGGACATCATTCGGTCTCGCCGCGGGCCTATATGCAAGTTCCCCTTATTTTGAATCGTGCTCATCCTGCACATTTATTAAGGTGATTTAATCACTTATTTTGACCTAAAAGGAAAAAATGACACTATTTTTGTTCAAATTTCCAATTTTAAAACAAACGGCCGGTTTTGCAGTTACGGCCTTTCAGCACTTCGGGGAGGAGATTTTAAGGTTGTGTCTGTTAACCGTTGAACTGACTCAGGGTGGCTGTTCTTGCAAAAACAGCCTTCCGGCGCCCTTTTGGGGACATTCGGCTTAGTTTAAACAAGAATGGCGTCATCCGACTTATTCATGACGAAATTAAAAAAATTTGGCATTTTGGCTATTTTTGAAAAGGGGAGGTTGGACCCGATGAGGGTTGCCTACGTATCTCACATCCGGTGAGAATCAAACCAGCGTAGTTCGGGCAGATAAACCTAACTATTTTGAAAACAAGATCCTTTTTGTTTTTGTTGGCAAATACACTATTTCTGAAAGCAAGATTCTTTCTTATATTTGCTTTTTCAGTGGCAAATAAACAAACTAATTTAAAAATAAAACTCTTTTTGTTTTTCTTTCCATTGGCAAACAAAACAAACTAAAAAAAAATACTTTTCTTCTTTTTCTTTCATTTTCTCAAAAATCCGGCAGCATTTCGGCACTACTTGGACATTGGTTTTTCTAATATAGGTAATTAACTCTCTACACTGCTATTTTCTCTTTTTCTCTTTTTGTTTTTCCAATTTTTCCCAAATATTCAAAGCCGGTCAGCATGCGAGTCCAAAACAAATAAATGCACAAGTAGGATGCATCAGGATGGTCCATTATTCCGGGTACACCTGTCCTAGACGGACCAACCCCTGTGTTGAGTCCCCCTAAGTCAAAATGCACGTGATGCAAATAAGCGTTCCTACTAGGGATCCGGCATGAAGTCAAGTTCTTCTAGGTTCAAAACCTGGGTATGTGTTCTAGACTGTGTACCCGAGCGGACAACTCGAGTCGAGGAGGGGGCTACGTACCGGGAACCAAAAGGCCATCCGGCTTAGTAACTTGTCCGGCCTCTTTCTTGTTTCAGGGTATTGACACTAACAGAATAGGGAGTCTCAACCAGTAAGCACATCCCCGGAGGTGAGAAGAGAAGGGTTTCGGCACAGTTTATATACAGTTCAGATAATATCACAGTGGTAAAAAACAACATTTTGCACATTTAGCATGAAACATGTAGGAAAATCAGATAGAGCCAAATACAACAATATATCAAAGCTCGAATTCTGAACCCTGAACCAAAGTTCTGGGTTCCGATCCCCAGCAGAGTCGCCAGAGCTGTCACACCTCCTTTTTCGCTACACCAGTGAGGGTGCAAAGGAGTTTTTCCAATTAAAGGACAGTCGGAATGGGGTTTATTATTAATATTCAGAGTCGCCACTTGGGAGATTAATGGTGTCCCAAGTCACCGGTTGAATCCCGATCCGAGGAAATTATGACTCTGTTAACAGTCCGCGAACCAGAACTCCGAGTAAGGAATTCTGTTAACCCGGGAGAAGGTATTAGGCATTCCCGGATTCCGTGGTTCTAGCACGGTCGCTCAACTGTTGTATTTGCTTTTATCTGATTTCAAAACATGTTCTAGCTTATGCTTTTTTAGTAAACCACTTTTATTTTTCATTTTTAATAAGAATTGCAACGTCGTAAAAATGCGTCTCGAACCACGTCGCACCAGTGCGCCCGTGATTGTTAACACATTTCGACTTCGTTGAGATTTGGATTTGGGTCACATAAATGGGCACCCGTATTTAGGAAGGTAAAATTATTAAAAAAACGCGCCTAAAGTGGCTAGTGTCTTATTAACTTTGTGGGAAGCCATGAAAATTCGCTAAATGGCATGTCCCGAGTTTCTAAATATTTTTTATATAATCGTTTAATGAGGGCCCCACAATTTATATGTTTTGATTTGGCGAGGCTCGTCTCATTTATTTTAAGGCCAACCTAAAAGCAACTACGATTCTCTACTTAATTTCGTCTCTAAAATAAAAGGAAAAAGTCCTAATTAATTTATCATTGACTTAGATATGCCTTTGGGCTCAAAGACAAGCCCATGCCATGTGAGTTAAATTTCAGTCCATAAGCAAAATCCAGTCAAACATGGACCCTGGCCCAGCGGAAGCTGTGCCAATTTAAACGGACTACTAAGTCTTGCCAATTTATAATTCAGAATCAAGGATATGCTGTCCAGGGCCCAACGCTTTGGGGCCTGCTATTAGAAAAGTTGGCCCAGGTGTGATTAGCCACATTCAAGTGTAGCTGATAAGCATGGCTCCCAAATCGAACCCAGGCAGAGACAGCGAATTGCGCCTGGATGCAAATCCAACCGTCCCAGCTCCATCAACTAATTAGGCAATTACTTAGGCTTTGCTTGAGATTCGACGGTAGTAACAATCTAATTGCTATTTCAGCTAAAATAAACCAGTCTCATGTTCCCCTGATTAAAACAGAATTGAAGTTAACACTGAAACAGGGGTTAATTTGTTAAACACTACTAACAAAGGAAGCTACCTCACATTATCCTATGCTATACTAACAACACATTGAATCGATTTAACATCACTAACTAACTGAGCCAACTTAACAGTCTATGAGATTCATATACAAGTTCAGATATACTGAGTCAAACAGTCCAAGTTTTAACATATCACGTGCACTGAAATTACACCATTACATAGTTCTAAACTAACCACATCCATAAACATTCACCATGAGCACAGCCTTGAATCATCACTTCATTTCATTTCAATGGAAGAGTACATCACTTGTGAGGTCAAATGCGTGTACTTAAACTAAACAACAACAGCAGATTATGTTCATGCATGTTAATACAAGCTTCCACATCACTTGAGCCTAAGAATATACCTGGAAATTAGAACAGAAATGAGGAAGAGGGAAGTCAGCTAAAGCAGTAACGAACAGCAGCCCAAATTCAAAGCAGCTAGATCACTTTCAAATCCAAAAATACCACAGCAAACCCAGGAATGACTAGCAGCAGATTAAACACCAAAAGCAGATGAAAACCAGATATGATTGGATCAAAATACACTCGAAATCAACCAAAAAGTCCCTGAACTTGAAC